ACCTGATGATATCTGTATGCACAGATGAAAGCTTGTAAAAAAATATAAAAAAAATACCTTACGCACATGGAATTTATAAACAGGGATCATAACATTCATCTACAGGTTCGGGGTTAATGTACTTTATTAAATTTGTTTGCAAAGATGTATTCTCGCCATTTATATCATTAACTTCTATATCTGTTTTTTGTATGAATGATTCATGTAATGTAAATTGAACTGCACCACATACATATATTTTAATCGGCATCAACCCAATAAAGGCAGTAAAGCCACTAAGACGCAAGGGGTTAAAGGGTGTGAAGGAATTAGAATCAGAAACATTAGTAATGAGTAATGAGTAATTAGTAATGAGTAATTAGTAATGAGTAAAATGTAAAAAGAGTAATCAGGAGGATAGGAGATAAGCATTGACATTGCATTTAAATTTTTGCAGATTAAAGTTGACTGGAAAGCAACGAGTCGAAAGGGAGTCCCACAATTGAGAAATATGAGAAAAGAAACTGTTACCATAGACTTTACGGCTACATCTCGCCAGCTAAACTGAAAATTGATGAGATCTCGACACCAGTCTAGTACTGCACTTAAATTCCTACAGTCTAGGTATCAAAGCAAAGAGATCACCGAAACAATTACCATGAAAATATAAATATATATATATATATATATATATATATATATATATATATATATATATATATATATATAAGGCACAAAGGAGCAACCTTACGGCGATGGACAAGTGACTGAAGCCGAGCTGCCAGATCAGGAGCAATAATATTGCTGATTCTTGGTTTTGTCAAGTAGATTCAGATAAATAGCAAGGGCACCTGATGATATATGGCAGCAATATTCTAAGCATAGACAGAAGGTAGAAATTCCGGAGAGAAACATTGTCTAGCACAACACAGTGAACCGACTTACTTGGCAGCTGAACTAGCAAAGGATTCAATATAGTCTTTCCACTTTATATCAGCTGAGAATGTTACCTAGAGAAGGCGCAATTAGTCACTTTCCTGGAGGTTAGCATCAGCCATGATCATGAAAGGCAGAGAAGGGTCTCTCAGATGATTAATGGAGAAAAGTTTAGTTTTGGAAGCGTTAATTAACAGCGTATTTTTTGCCTCAGTTAACGACCTTCTTGAGGTCATTTTTTACATCAGCTGTTATTTTGACCTTGTCCGACTGATCAGCCTCAACGTTATATAGGAATAAATTGTTACTGCCGACACTTGAGTTTTAACATAGATCGCCAGTGAGCAAACACAGACGATTCCATTATTGAATTAAGTAGACCACGTGACCATAGAGGAAACGCATATATGTACGAAGTGACTGACGACTAACGATCGTTATTTCTAGTCTATCCTCTATTACTATTCGGATCACTGTTCTCTACTCTATTCACTATATTATTTCTCTATTCCGATCACTACACAGGTTACTATTTTTTACGGGACCTTACCCATAATAACATAATGGACTATTCCAAACGTAATAAATACTGCGGCTCAAGAGGAAGCAGGGAGTTCCGTCTGAAGTCTAGAGTTCAGTCTGAAGCCTTATTGGTTCTACCTTGGAATATCACCGTGGTACAAGGAACCGGACCATAACACTATTCGAGCGAGTATTATCAAACAAGTACTATTCGTGCGAGTGATACTTGAAGGGTCTGACACCAGTATTTTTCAACGGCGTACTGTAGTTGTATCTGCGATTACAAAGTCTCCAGTACATCGAGCATTACAAAAGTGACAACAGATATTCGTTGACATCACAAAATTGTCAAATGTGTGTTCGTTGACATCACAAAACTTACTACTGAGGCAGGTGTAAACAATAGTGTCGTCAGTGTAGATGCCACGTTCAGGGCTGATATAATCAGAAAGTTCTTTAATGAAAATTCGAAACAGCAAGTGGCCGTTCAGGATGACATTCATTTCACGATTTAACAGGAAAGGCTGGATTACCTCAAAAATGTGCCCAGAGACACAGTAATTTTTAGCTTGTGGAGAGGACCGGTCAAAGACTTTCGAGATGCTCAATTCTACAGCCCGGGCTTAACCGTTTTTATCTAAGGCAGGGGTTTTCAAACTTTTTGACTTGCGGACCCCTTTATATTTCAGGCTTTACCTTAGGGACCCCCCTTATAAACGCTTATGAAATTTATATAAAAATATTTGCTGAATATAACATAATTTTGCATTAATGCAATAATAGCTGGTTTAAAGCTCACTTTAGACATAAGTGTTCAAATCAATCAATGCTGCATGTTGCTGCAAAATGTAACAAAATTAAATTTTGTTATATTAAAATATTAAATTTTACATGTAAATTAAAACAGTAATAGTATTTAAGAAATAGTTTTATTGTCAATTACACACACAGGATTTTTTAATACACACTTAGTGAGAAGGATGTGCTTGTTTGGCTTTGCACAAACTGTCAATTCTTGGCGATATTACTGATAAACATACACGTAAGTCACTTTCTGAAGCAAGTCTGGATCTGTATTTGTTTTTCAGATTTATTAGTGCCGAAAATCCTGCTTCGCATAAATATGTTGTTGCAAACGGTAACAAAATCTTAACTGCCTTTCGAGATAACAATGGCTACTCGGAGGCTACAGGGAGCAAGAATTTCAAAAGTTGTTGCTGCATAAAACTGATTTTTAAAGTTCTGTCGCATGAAATTTCCGCCTGTTCTTCCAGTTCATTATAAGTTGCACGTCACCCATAAAAAAAAGTATTTGCTTTCCACGGACCCCCTATCTTGTCCTTGCGGACGCCCTGTGGTCCGCGGACCACAGTTTGAAAACCCCTGATTTAAGGCATGATGGACATTACCGCTATTATCGTCAGTACATCAACAGTTGCCCTAGAGAAACGAAAGTCGTATTGATTGTCTGTGAAAAGCCCTGTGATGAGAGATGATGAACCAGTTCAGTATTGATTAGGGCCTCTATGGGTTTCCCCAAAAGACGTAGAAGGCTTATAGTCGGATGGGTCGGACGGTTTTCAAAAACCGAAACGACAGACGATGGCTTCCAGCAGGAAGGAAAGCAGGATTATTGACATATTATTGATGTATTATTGACGAGGTATATTATTTCTAATGACATTTGGTCAATTTTTTCGAAGAGGCGATTGCTGGGAATATCAACCTGGGAAGCCGATTCAAGCACGTGACACAATTGGAGATATCCCCCAAAACCATAAAACAAACTGACCCGTGCCACTTCAGTGACATCGGGAAGACGCAACAGTTCTGTCGCTGTCTCTTGTTGCACAAGAGCAACGATATTGAGTCACCCCCCACCACGAGGGTGTCATGTGGCACAAGGCCTTTTTAACGTGGGCATTCCGAGCCCGTAGGCTCGGCCCAAAAATATGCCCATTGAACCCGTATATACGGGTTCAGGGCCGGTTTTACCTCCCCGAAGGAGACTCCACCCTTCGGCGTAGCCTCCTTCGGGTTCCTCCCGTCCGTAGGAAGAGAGTACAACCGAACAGTCGGTTCAAAAGTGAACGACTGACTCAAGACAAGAGCAACGTGACACGTATCATAATTTGAGTTCACTGATCTTCTTTTTCAAAATGCTGACTACAGATATGTGCTCTCTCCAAGAAGCAGTAACTACAGTCCGCACAGCATGGTCGTAGTGTAAACTACAGCTTGACACAGTGGGTGCTGAATGAACACAACCCTCCCTGAAGGGATTAGCTAGATAAACCAAGAGACATCCTATACATATTATTTTGTGGGTGAGCTTTTGAGTAGACAACTACGTTTTTTTTTTTTAATGAAATTAATATCTACCAGCCTAAATTCTGAAAGTATTATTAAATAAAAGTTACTTCTCGGATCTGTATTTTTTTTTGTCTTCCTGTTTTCCCTTACGCACTTGGTTAAGGCAGAATTCTATATTTCTGCTCTCTCCTCTAGCTATGCTGTAAATAGTAGGGTAGACTTTGCTCTCTAGCATTGGGTGGAAATCAATATAAAATAATGATTACGCTGAATGCAATAGCGTGGAAAAGGCAAGGAAATCCACCGCACTATAGGGCAATGAACACATTAAATAAAAAAGAAAACGATTGCCTCCTTGCTTAATCACTTTAAAAGCCCATCTCTTAAATTTATATTTTGCTGAAATATTTCTGTGAAATTTTCACTTTCGAAAATTAAAATTTATAATTATAGATCAGAGATATAATAAAAGGGTGTATGTTTAAACTGACACCCAAAGAATATAGGTAAATTGCAACTACTTTAAATCCCGACAGACTGAAATAGATTAATTTGTTTTTTTTACGGCTTATCAACCTTTTGAATGTTATTTAAAGCCGGTTTTTTAGATTGTAATAATGTTTTGCAGATAATAATGATTTTACTGGTACACACCCTGTTATTTAACCGATAGCAGTGGGGAGAAGCGATGTATTCATACTTATCCCACTGGTATTTTCACATATAGTGAATATAACAAACGCCAGTGGAATTGGAACTCGGCTTTTTCGATTTCCAAATCTGAACCGTTATCCATTATACCATTTGCGCATGCGAACTTAAAGCACTTGGTATTCCCAAGTATTCACTTGTCTAGGTGCTGACCAAACTTGACATTACTTAATTTCGGTGATCAGACGAGAAGCTGTGTTTCAATGTAATTGAACCGTAAACACACACACACACACACACATATATATATATATATATATATATATATATATATATATATATATATATATATATAAAGACGATGATAGATATGATGAGATTACTGTCGGTTGTTTAATGATAATTTTTTATGGGGCACACAGTGAGGATCGAACTCCCAAGTCAAGAGTAATCTACTACAAAATTAGCTTCGCTAACAATTACTGAACACAACTAAGGAGATAGCCTACAAGAAAGAAAGAAAGAAAGAAAGAAAGAAAGAAAGAAAGAAAGATAAGAATAATGAGCAAACTGAAACAGCTGACTGGCTAGCTAGCTAGCTAGCTAGCTAGATAGATAGATAGATAGATAGATAGATAGATAATGAAATAGAAAGAAAGAAAGAAAGAAAGAAAGAAAAGAATGAATGAATGAATGAATGAATGAAAGAAATGGACACACTTAGATAGATAGATAGATAGATAGATAATGAACATAATGAAATAGAAAGAAAGAAAGAATGAATGAATGAATGAATGAATGAATGAAATGGACAAACTTAGATAGATAGATAGATAGATAGATAGATAGATAGATAGATAGATAGATAGATAGATAGATAGATAGATAGATAGATAATGACGTATCTGAGATAGATAGATAGATAGATAGATAGATAGATAGATAGATAGATAGATAGATAGATAGATAAGGAAGTGACTGAGATAGATAGATAGATAGATAGATAGATAGATAGATAGATAGATAGATAGATAGATAGATAGATAGATAGAATACTATAATGAACATAATGAAATAGAAAGAAAAAGAAAGAATGAATGAATGAATGAAATGGACAAACTTAGATAGATAGATAGATAGATAGATAGATAGATAGATAGATAGATAGATGAACATAATGAAATAGAAAGAAAGAAAGAATGAATGAATGAATGAATGAATGAAATGGACAAACTTAGATAGATAGATAGATAGATAGATAGATAGATAGATAGATAGATAGATAGATAATGACGTATCTGAGATAGATAGATAGATAGATAGATAGATAGATAGATAGATAGATAGATAGAATACTATAATGAACAATGAAATAGAAAGAAAAAGAAAGAATGAATGAATGAATGAAATGGACAAACTTAGATAGATAGATAGATAGATAGATAGATAGATAGATAGATAGATAGATAGATAGATAGATAATGAATATAATGAAATAGAAAGAAAGAAATGAACATAGATAGATAGATAGATAGATAGATAGATAGATAGATAGATAGATAGATAGATAATGCGGAAGAGATGCTTCACATAGTATAATTTAACTTGGAATTTAATGTATCGTGTATTCTCCGAATTGGGCACATGACTTCCGTGTCTACCTCTTAAGACGAACCCAACATTTCCTTCTCGCTACAACAACGCTGTCTACAATGATCAGGTTCTTGCATCAGCCACTCAAAATTCTCGATGCTATGTTCGCATAAAGAAAACAAGTTTTACATTCACCTCCACTGCTGGCTCCAAAAAGACGACCTCTTTTCTCAATGTTTGGATCTCAATAAAATTCCATTTGGATATCGACAGCAGAAAATTCTGACATATTTTTCTTCTTTAAGATGAATAATTACATTTTTTTAAATCTTTCTGGAAGATTTTTCTTGTACGATGTCCGAAGCCAAGAAGTTTTGTCATGTTTTCGTTTTTTTTTTGTTTTTTTTTTTGTTTTTTTTCTAGAAAGAGTCTGTACTTTTATCAATTACAATATAAACGCCAAAACAAAAATTTATTGCTTGCTATGGTTTCTGTGATAGAGCGCTGTTTAACTAAGATAGTGAGCACATAAGTCATCGTGCTCCTTTATCATAGCCCTGTGCCAGGCTCATTTGAACTTTGGGATTTAAAATAATAATGCATCACACTTTAACATTTTCAAGTTGGTATCTATAAGTTTTCTATCACAGTGGTGACTGCAGAATTTTCCCTCGACTCATTTCTCAATAAATAATCAAATATCAGAATATTTGGAAAAAGGCCTTCTTGGTAGTGCTGAGAACTTTTCATTAACTACTTTATATACATATACATGGTTATTTAAAAAGGAAATCAGATTTCGAAAATTTAATAATAAAAATGACATACAAATGCTAAGAGAGAGAAACCCATTCAACACATGACTAGACAGGAAAAGTTCCAAAGTTATTAAAATAAATGATTTTTTTTTTTTTTACAATCTGGTTTAAATGCTTCTTTTTCTTGTCGTTTTTTTTTTCAGATGTTGTAGAAATTTAAATTGTTATAATTTGTGAAAAATAAGAACTTGTTCTTCGTCTATGGCCTCCCAAATGAACAGATCTTACCCCTTGGGATTTTTATCAGGGAGATATATAAAAGAAAGTGATTTTTTTCTACCTATCCCTGTTACTCTTGAAAATATCGAATCGTTGAAGCTGTAAAGTCAATATCCACAGATCAATTGATTCGATTTTGGCAAAAAGTAGAATACTTATTCGATGTTTGGCCTGCAAAAAATGGTGCTCACGTTGAGTGCATGCTAGTTTAAGTAATACATGTATATATATATATATATATATATATATATATATATATATATATATATATATGTGTGTGTGTATGTGTGTGTGTGTGTGTGTGTGTGTGTGTGTGTGTGTGTGTGTGTGTGTGTGTGTGTGTGTGTGTGTGTCACAAATCAACACGTCCTGGGTAAGACGATAAACTACATCCAACAGCAAGGCCGCTGATCAAGAGGTTTTTGAGGAACGTGGAACCGCCTCTTAATTGTTGGTGTTCCCAGGTCCACCCAGACCTGGGTTGGTAGCACCTTTTATGGTCCCAGCTATGGGCAAATAGAACCCCCCACCGCCCCAAAAAAGAGGTCAAATCACTATGAAAGTGTAAAAATAGGCTTTAATACCAGAAATACTATTTTTTGTAAAAAAATATTACCAGCAATGAATTTAAGGAAAAATTATTACCAGCAATACATTTTTGAAGGAAAAAAATATTACAAGCAATAATTTTTTGAACAAAAATATTACCAGCAATAAAAATCTTGTAAGCATTAAATAACCCATTGAGGTGTTGATATGCCGTAAAACAAACCAAACCAACAATTGAGCATTTCCGTTTATTAGTTTTGCCAAATGTGCTAGGGGGAAATTTCAATTTCTTTTATGCGTTACTTGCTTCCATTTGAATGTCTATGTATATTAACAATCATCGAACTGGAAACTGGAAAACAGTGTTCAAATTCCGAAACTGTTTCTTTCACTTTCACTTTCGCTTTCACATAAATGCCCTTTTGAAATGTGTGAGTCCGTTTCTTCTTCAATCCTCTATAGGTTAAATAGCAGTGTAGAGCCTTGGGTGGCGAACAATTTAATTGAAAGGAAACGCTGAATCCCAAAAGGCAGAGGTGGTATCAAGAAAAAGGTATTCGCCATCGATCTCAAGATTGTCTGGGATTTCACAATATGGAATCTGCTGATAGCCAGTAATGGTTGCGTCCTGACGGAACATTGTATTAAGGATATCACCTCCTGATTACCTGATCTATTTGCACAAGGTGGTCAGACAAATTAATATTAGAGATTTTAAGTGAACACAGGCACACACACATACATACACACACGAACGCGCGTACACATATACATACACCCTTGTGAAAATTAATTGAAACAAGACGAATAATTCCGTTATTATTTACTTTATATCCGTATTTTCCCATTGAAACATGATCCATTGCACATGTTAGTACTTCGTATGTTCATTCCATGAAGACGTTCCTTGTAGATTGACCACAGATTCTCGATTGGACTTAAATCATGAGAGTTTACGAGCCAATCTATAGTACTTTGATTTGCTCGCTGGTAAAGCTTGCCAGTTTGTCTGTGCAGTGTGACAATATTTGTATACTTCCTTGGAGTAACGTTCCTCACAGACAATAGCTGTAGGACAACTAATCGACAGTCGAGACAATAGTGTCTGGTCGTGATAAAAATCTAATGGAATCACGAATGAGGCAATATTTTTCAAGGCCAAACAAATTTCAGCCTACACTCCCAAAATAGATTCCTATTAATGTACACCTCTGCAAATGACCTAATCTGGGGAAAAATAGAAATCGATTACACTCGGTCACCCCAGTGGGTCTAAAACTGACCGTATGGTGAAAGAAAGGAAGCTAAAGATGTTGTTTCAATTAATTTGTACAAGGGTATATAGATATATATATTGAGACATGTTTCACTGGATAATTTAGACAGGTTTTGGATCCTTTCACAAATGAGCAATGTTGAAAGGAAAAAGATCTTTCAGACCTTCAGTAGTGGTACCAGCATTCTTACTCTAGCTTCCATCTTCAAAGTCTATTCAAGAATTATCAAGAGGTCGGTGAATAAGTTTTAAAAAAGGGAACAGTAGAGAGAAAAATTGGATCAGCAGGTCACAGAAGGAAGAGGGATTATCATTTCAATTTTGATCTAAAGAGATCAATTAGAAAAGATCCAACTCAACCCATAAGACGTTTGGCATGTGAGAGAGAAGTTTCAGCTATGACAGTTCAAAGAGCTATAAAAAAAAAGACTTGAAAAAGTACGTGAAACCTGTGACCCCACATTGTTACTCTAGGACAGAAAGTTAGGTTAGAGAGGGCGAAGATCATCTTGAATAAGTTGGAAAATGATCCTCGGATAATAAGATGTATATTTGAACTTTATTTCAATCCTACAAGAGATTCCGATCCTTAGCTATGATTAATTAATGATGAACATGTCATTTTCGTTTATGATCGATTTCATCACGATTCTTCTGTTAAGCTTGGAGAGTAATTATACATTCCTATTGCTCAAAGAAGAGTCCAGTAGGGTTATAAAAATCTCGGAGAATTCCAATAATATATATTTATTCATTTCTAAGAAACAACGGTTCAGGGCTTAATCTAACAAATGGACAATTTTTTTTTTACGCGATTTGGACAATTTTACTGTTACACCCTTGTATATATATATATATATATATATATATATATATATATATATACATGATTAAAAAAAGTTTTCGTAGGGTGACTTCATCGGATTAGGACGAAACCCGTCACACGAAAACTTTTAAAACTTTGTTTTTGATATATAAAAATTATATATTCTTAACTCATGCCCAACACAAACCATTTTGGAATCAGGCCGATTCTGTGAGCAAATTAAAAATCATTCCTGGACCCGCAATCTTGATATTTTGGATTCCCAAATTTTCGTGACTGCGATAGTTTTCGGCGTTTTTTACGTAATTTTTGCGACGAATAACAATTTTTATAATTGGAAATAAATTTAGGAATAATCGAAATTAATTCCGAAACCCCGTGAAATAAAAATAATTGTTTGTACTGAAAGTAAGGACCTACGTACATCAAATTGTCTTTAAATTAAGTGGTGGCAGAAGAATTTTCGTTGAACTTTTAAAAGGTAAGCTTAAATATTAATGCAATACTTAAATGCAGCAATCAATTTCGAGTTCTTCTGTAATCTATTGTTGCCTATCAGCATCTCCTCCTCCAATCCTTATTTTTACGAATGCCCAATCAAGAGCCCTCCGCAGGTGCTAGATTAAATGCTGCCTGATATAGCGGCTTTTAAGCTAGTATATGTATATAAAGTAGTTGATGAAAAGTTCTCAGCAGGACCAAGATTTCTACTTTTGCTAAGCCTCCTTTCAACCCCGTTAACAACCCCACCAGTCAAGTATCTCGCTGCTTTCTCCTCTGGTCCATGTCCTTAATATTACCCATTAGGCTATGTTATCTAAGCCCTCATTATACGTCCAAGGAATATCAGCTGTTTTTCCTGCCTTCGAGTATAAGTGTTCTTTATGTTACCATTTTATTTAAAACTCCGTATTTGGATATTCGCTCCCTCCATAGAATTCTTTGTATCCTTCTGTAGAACCAAATTTCTGCTGCTTCTATTTTTGTTTTCTCATCTTCACAGAAACTGTCCAAAATTCACGGCCATGTAAGAAAGATACCAATAAGATGTTCTCTTATGGTAATATGAGTTATTTTTACTTATTGGTGTTGAGTAAACCTTTCTGCCACCATAATAGAATATTACTAAATTTACTCATTACTAAAAACGTAAGTTCAACTTGCATGACCTATAAATTTGCGAAATCACATTGTGTTTTATATCATATAATAGATATTATATGTTTTGGTCCATTATCACAGGAAAAACAAACAACAGTACATGAGCTACATTAAGCAGAAAATTACATTAACTTCAATAAGAAACTTTTAGCAACATTATTAATTTTTCTATTTGTTTATTTATTTGTCTGTTCAGAGAGAAGCCAAGTGATATCTCCTTAAAAATTCCCTCCCCCACCAAGAAAACAAAGAAAAAAAAATACCACAAGCTATTTTGCCATTGACCGACAACTCCATTTTCTGTTCGTTGGACCTGTCTGCGACCTATTCATCCCCTGGGAATTCACGGCAGCGCTTATATTATGAATTACAAAATGAAGCAGACGATCACCTTCTCTTTTCTGTTTTCTATTCATTCGTTTATTCTGGTGTGGAAGGATTTACTTAAGCACAAGAGAGAGAAAGAGAGAGAGAAGAGAGAAACAGGGTTTGGGAAATGAGAGTTAAGGGGGAGAGAGACTGAGATTTAGAGAGGGGACTGGAAAGATGGATGAGGAAAAGAATGTGAGATAAGGGAAAGAGATAGAAGATTAGACAGGAAGAGAAAATGAGAGAGAGGCCAAAGTGAGAGAAAATGAGGGTTAAGAAAAAGATGAATGTTTGGAAGGAGAAAGATAACATGAGAGACGGGAAAGAGAGAGAGAAGAAAAGAAAGAGAGACTATTAGAGACAGGAAAGAAAGAAAGATTACAGACTTTAAAGAGAGATAGAATAGAGGGACAATATGTGGGACGGAAACGAGAGACAGGGAGATGAAGACAAGATGAGAGATGGCAAAAGATGTGGAATAAGAATGTAGAGAAGATGAGAGATGATAAAGAGAGAGAAAATTAGAGACTGGAAAGTGAGAAAGATTAGAGACAGGAAAGAAAGAGAAGATTAGGGACTGGAAAGAGAGAGAAGATTAGGGACTGGAAAAAGAGAAAAATTAGAGACTTGGAAGAAAGTCATAAGAGATGAAACAGAGGGGGAAGATGAGGAACGAAAAAGAGAGAAAGAGAGAAGATAAGAGATTCAAAAGAGAGAGAGAAGATTTGAGAGTGGAAAGAGTGACACATCTAGAGACAGGAAAGAGAGAGACGAATGATGAAATAGAGGGAGAAGACGAGGAACGAAGAAGAGAGAGAGAGAAGATAAGAGGTTGAAAAGAGAGAGATTAGGCACTGGAAAGAAAGAGAAGAATAGAGACAAGAAAGAGGGAAATGAGAGATGAAGCAGAGGGAAAATGGCGAACGAGAAAGAGAGAAAGAAAATAAGAGATGGCAAGAGAAAAGATTAGAGAGAGGAAATAAGCGATGGTAAAGAGAGAGACGATTAAGAACTGGAAAGAGAGAAATGATGAGACTAGATAGAGAGAAAGATTAGAAACTGGAAAGAGGGAGAAGGAAGATTAGAGACTGGAATGAGAAAGATTAGAGACTTTGAAAAAGAGAGATGGTTAGTGATTAAAAAGAGAGCGAAGATTTGAGACTGGAAAGAGAGAGAGAAGATTAGGAGCTGGAAAAAGAAGATTTGAAAGAGAGAAAAGATTAGAGATTAGAAACAGAATGAAAATTAGGAACTGGAAAGAGAGAGAGAGAGAGAGAGAGAAGATTAGAGATTTGAAAGAGAGAGAAGACTGAAGATTAGAAAGAAATAGATCAGAGACTGAAAAAAGAGAAGGGAGATTAAGGATTAGAAATAGAAAGAAAAGATTAGAGACTGAAAAGAGAGATAGATTAAAGACTGGAAAGAGAGAGAAGATTATAGACTGAAAAGAGAGAAAGATGAGAGAATGGAAAAAGGGAGAAGATTAGAGACTGGAAAGAGAGAGAAGATTAGAAAGTGATAGAAAAGATTAAAGATTGGAAAAAAGAAAATATTAGAGACTGAAAAGAGAGAATGATTAAGGACTGGAAAAAGGGAGAAGATTAGAGAGTGGAATGAGAAAGATTAGAGACTGGAATAGTAGAGAAGATTAGAGATTGGAAAGTGAGAGTAGATTGAAGATTAGAAAGAGATAGACGATTAGGAACTGGAAAGAGATAGAGAGAGAAGTGTAGAGATTGGAAGGAAAGAGAAGATTAGACACTGAAAAAAGAGAAAGATCAGGGACTGGAGAGAAAGAGAAGATTAGAGAGTGGAATGAGAAAGATTAGAGAGTGGAATAGGAGAGAAGATTAGTGATTAGAGAGAACGAAGATTTGAAACTGGAAAGAGAGAGACATGATTAGTGACTGGAAAGAGAGAGAAGATTGAAGATTAGAAAGAGATAGAAGATTAAGGACTGGAAAGAGAGAGAGAGAAGATTAAAGATTGGAAAAAAGAAAAGATTAGATACTGTAAAGAGAGAAAGATTAAGGACTGGAAAGAGGGAGAGAAGCTTAAAGAGAGCGAAGACTAAAGACAGAGAGAGTGAGAAAGAGAGAGAGATCAGAGACGGAAAAGAGAGAAAAAGTGAGAAATGGAAAAGAGAAAGAGAATTGAGAGAGGGAAAACAGATGTGGGATGAGAATCGATAGAAGATGAGGGTAAAAGTGGGAGACGATACAGAGAGAAAAGATGAGTGATGGTAAAGGAAGAGAAAATTAGAGACTGGAAAGAGAGAGAAGATTAGAAACTGAAATGAGAGAGAGGATTAGAGACTAGGAAGAGAGAGAGAGAGATGATTAGGGTCTGGAAAGATAGCGAAGATTAGAGCTTGGGAATAGAGACATAAAAGATGAAACAGAGAGAGAAGATGAAAAACGGGAAAAGAGATAGAGAAGATAAGAGATTGAAAAGAGAAAAAAGATTGGAGACTGGAAATAGAGAGAAAACTATAGCCTGGAAAAAGAGAGATTGAACAGAGAGAGAAAAGATGCGAAATGGGAATAAGAGAGAAAATTATAGATGAGAATAGAGAGATGAGTAAAAGAGAGAGTTGAGTGATACGAAAGACGTGTGATAGAAAGGAAGGAAATTAAATGAAAGATGTTTAATGAGGTGAAAATAAAGAGAAAAAGAAGTAAAGTGAGAAGCAAAAGAGAAAGAATCGTATAGAAAAGAGAAAGGGAAAGCTGGAAAATAGAGAAATGACAAAGAGAGAAAAACAGAGAGATAGGAGCCATGAAACGAAGTGAACGACACAGACGGGAGTAACAAAAAAAAGAAAGATGAAAACGAAAGAAAAAAAAAAGACAAATAAAAAAAAAGAGAAAGAAAAGGACAAAAGTGGGGAAAAGGAGAGATGAGAAAGAAAGAAATTCAACAGATTGATTGGAGTGGGGAAAACGAGATGGGAAGGAAAACACTAGTAGGTGAGAGATAGAAAGGGAGTGTTATGGTGAAACACCCCTATTCTATAGTTAATAGACTCTCCCACCTAATATATGTAGGAGTAGTAAGAGAAACGAGGGTCAGTCGATGTCGGACGACGGGCTGAACGGTTGAACTCTCTGCCTTCGGGCACGGAGGAACCCGAACGAGGCTATGCCGAAGGGCAGAGTCTCGTTCGGGGAGGTAAACCGACCCTGAACCCGTTTATACGGGTTCAAAGTGTATATTTTTGGCCGAGCCCACGGGTTCGGAGATCCCACGTTAAACCGGCCTTGTGCCACATGATACCCACGTGGGGGAGGTGACTAAATACTAGTCGATGTCGGACGACCGGCTGAACAGTTAAACTCTCCGCTTTCGGGCGGGGAGGAACCCGAACGAGGCTATGCCGAAGGACGGAGTCTCATTCGGGAAGATAAACCGACCTTGAACCCGTTTATACAGGTTCAAAGGGTATATTTTTAGCCGAGCCCACGGGATCGGAGATCCCACATTAAACCGGGACGTTGTGCCACATGATACCCTCGTGGTGGGCTGACTAAATACTAGTCGATGTCGGACGACAGTCGAACTCTCTGCCTTCGGGTAGAGAGGAATCCGGACGAGGCTATGCCGAAGGGCAGAGTTTCGTCCGGGGAGGTAGACAGACCCGATCCCGTTTATTCGGGGTCTACGGGGATTTTTTGGCCAAGCCTACGGGCTCGGGAACCCCACATTAAATTCGGCCTTGTGCCGCATGTGACTGCGTGGGGCAGTTACTAAATAGCGTCGATGTCGGACGACAGTAGTCGACAGTCGAATACGAAAGTAGTCAGCGACCACAACAAGATTACTCTGCGTAATACCTATTATATCGAGTTCCTAACATTTTGTACGTCGAACCTATTTTAGGAGCGATTTAGTACAAATACAAGCCTCCACTGCAAAATAACTCCACAACAGGGAGAGATAAGATAAAATGAAGATTAAGAGAGAGGGGCAGTAAAGAGTGCCAAGGAGAATGATTGTTATAAAGAGAGACTTTAAAGAGAGCGAAGGGATAAAAAATTAGGAGTGGACATAAGGTGATAGAGAAGAAAGACAGATGGGAAAGAGAGAGTATGATAGAGATGGAAGAGGTATAAAGAAAGGGAAATTAGAGAGAAAGAAAAAAGAGAGAGATGGGAAATATATTTTTTTAGAAAATGAGCGAGCCTGAAGTCGAAAATAAAAGAGGGAAAATTTAATAACGAAAAAGAAAGAAAATGCGAAAGAGATATAGAGAGTATATACATATAGAAAGAAGAAAAGAGAAACAATGTAGAGAGGGGGAGAAATGAAGTGGAGAGACTAAAAGACAAAGAGAAAAACCCACTTGCGGTAGTTCAAATGTTGATAATGAATTCTGTTTCCCAAATGCAAAGCCTTTAAAAAAAAAATAGTGGGTGATCGAAAAGTCATCAAAGATGATCCGAGGTCTGTGTGCAAAACTGAAACATTCTAGGTCAACTCTATGGAGATTACTTCAGCGATATGCAAGCATAACATAGCGACTTCAAAATATGTCCTTTACCCGCAAAAGAACTATTAACATAACGCCGGATAATTAAAACTAAAATGAAAATAAAAATGGTAAAAAGCCGTATAAAATAAAATTTAAAATTTAAATAATGAATGTTTTTTGCATCTTTAATGTTTTCATAGAAACCAATGTTGACGTTTTGATGTATTTTCACTTTTTGTATATAGGATCGATTGCTATATTTTCCATTTGTAACGATATATGTCACACAAAGCTTTCTCTTTTTTTTTTTTTTTTTTAGAAACATAACACTGGTGGGATGTTTTATTCAATAGAAATTACATATTTTTATAAACAAACTAATTGATAAATAGATTTATCCTATAACAGGACATCAGAGATTTTAGAAGCAAAATAGTATAACTAAATGAAAATGACCTAAATTTATCAAATAGCTAGCTCTATTTACATTATTTGAACTATTGCCTTCATCTTTGTCGCCATGTTTATCACAACGTTCCGGCTTTGGTTGGAATGTCGAACTGAACCCTTTATTTCGCTCACTGGGGTAGACTGTTCTAGTTCTACGATGTCAGTTATCTCCTGCTCAAAGTTCTCCACCGCCTTAACCAGGTATTGAACTCACACTCTTTGGGCCCTGTTACTGTATCTAACTAACGCCTTTATCCACTGTGCCACGTTTCCTTGGAAGTCTAATCTTATGTCTAATATTGTGTACAAGACTATGTTTTTTCTAAGAAATGTTGTTTAATGGAACTAAGATCAGAAATGTGACAGTTAAATCTACGGGAGAGTGTGGTTGTAGTAAAAGCAATATATGTAGTGGGTTTTAGCAAATTTCTAACGTAACAGGATTTCATCTTTGATGGTAAACATTTCTATTGTAATGTTTAAATACCTACTCTGACGATGGCTCAAGTGAGCCGAAAACTTAGATCGCGGAAGTGCATAATAAAAATATCCAAATGTCGGACAGTTTTTGCCATTAATTTCTCCCGAAACTAAAGCCACTATACGAAGCCTAGAACGGCTTATGATCAAACATAATAGACATTCGTTGTCTGTTATATCTAACAATATATGTTTGAATATATATAAGTGAAACAGACTGTCGCCTCTAAATGTTCACTTCAATGTCCACTTTTATATTTACACACGCTCTATCTCTGATAATGAGCACTTGATCCCATAAATATAGCACACCTTAAGAGTATATTTCTTCTCTCGCGTGGTCATGTGTGACGTCACGAGCTGCGATGCGATTTTCGCTTCCGCGTCTCGTATACACGAATGTGTCGTTGCTTTGAAATTTTTCATGCACAAAACAGACTATCATTATTGTTTCGTCCGTGTATTGATTGATATATTGAAATGTAATTGTCATCTTTGATAATGGCTTATGTAAGCCGAAAGCTTAGATAGGATTAAAACATGTATGAATATGGTGATTTCCTTTTGTCTTTCAATGATAATGTTATTAAACTTATCAGACAATATGAAAGGAACTTACTTAAAATAAATAGACAAAACTTGGCTATATTATTTAATGAAACATGCATCAATATACATATATATATACATATATATATATATATATATATATATTGTTGAAGATTTTTTTGTGAAATAGAAAAACGACAACTCGAGAAAAAAAAATAGATTTTTTTTGCTTAAAAAATAGAAAGACGAATTCCAGTCGCGCTCAACAAACAAGAAAAAATAAATCTTAAACAATCAAACACGAAAAGAAATTAACAAAAAACCAACCCTCTTGAAAA